CACACACACACACACACACACACACACGCACGCACGCACACACACCACATGCTGAAGTTAAAACCATTCCTCATTTCTCCTAAAAAAAAGAACAAGGTCATGATAGCTGTTTATGTACTGAATTTGCGTAGCRATGGGTCACATTGGCGATATTTTATTTTGGCGAATTTATATTTTGTGATAATTTTTTACACTTTGCATGAGCTAAATTGTTGCTAAAATTCTTTTTTTTTTCTGTTTGACAGTTTATCAGAACATGAGCAACATGAGGTGATTTTAAGGTTTTTATTCCACAAAACCAGCACACATAAACATCCCTCCACGCTCCTGCATTGTTTTGCTGCTCATTCTGTGCTCCGAGGTGTTTGCTGTCTAAGAGCCACACCACACCTCCTGTCATCTTYCTGCAGGATTGTGAGCCTCACAGTCTTTCAAGTGTGCTCGGCTGGTAATGAGAGCTGATGGAAAGTGGTGAGATTCTTCCATCAGTCCTCCCACACACGCAGAGGGAGACAGACAAAGCCACTGGGTGCAGATTTCTTTGCCAACACGCGYACGCATCAGCGTGTAAATGTGTGCGCGTGTGCACTGCGGATGATCAACACCTCCATTCCACAGAGACATCTCCTAATCAGATGAAACTTCTGCCGACACTTCAGCTATTCCTCAGATGAACTTACAGTGTCTTCATCAGTGATCCTTTACACTCCCCACTCCCTCTTTTACTTCCTGTCTTCCATCCCTCCTGCAGTAGGTCCACTCATGGATTTGTCTATRATTCTTCCACTCTCTATGTCTTTATCAGTGTTTTGATGCTGAGCCAAATTCACAATTTCTCTTACTTCTTTAGAGGTTTTGGCCACTGCACTTCTCCAAAATCAGAATCATTTGAACCRTAATTACTGCACTGACATGTTGAGTAATAAATCGTTCTCACTTCAGGTGAGGAGACGTTTGATTTCTTCAGCTTTTTTATTTGCCTTTATTGGCTTAAGATTGGCTTTGGGAACATATCACTGTGCAGATTTGTTGCTGCTAATTGGCCGTATTTATCTGAGTCATTTTGATTGCTTGATTTCAATACTGCATATTAATCTCTGCTTGGGCTGGTRCATTATTATCCCTGGGTTTATATGTGTACAAATACTGCAATTTCTGCTCTTGTGGTGTTTTATAAATGTCTGGCCCCAGAGTCAGAAAATATATTTTTAAATGATGCTCCTGTTTTGTTATCAGAACTGGTTAATGGTTACTTAAGTCTATTTGAAAAAAAAAAAGTTTTCTTGGTCAATCAAGCTGCTTTAATGTTGTTCCTGCACATTTATGTTCTTGTCAAGGCCTCTCTTAAAAATAAGTTTACATCTCTGCATAAATAAAGGATACATACTGAATATTTCCCAGTGAATAAAATATTTTATGTCTAGATGAGTGATGTCCTTACGACAGCTTGTCTTATGTGCAGCATTCTAACCTTTACTGTTCTGTGTTATGATAACCAGACAGATTTGTGAGCACTCTTTCCAAATGTCTTCCTCTCAGTGTGTTATTCTGTCTCACAACCCTTTCACTGTGAGATGGATGAGGATAGATTCAGTATTGTCAGTTAGCTTTTAAGTTTCAGGTATAATTAATTTTATTTCCAACTGAGATGATGCTGTTGCTCTGAATGAACATTTGACTTTATAAAGTCTTTATCAGCCAGCTCAGTCTCCGGTGTTACAGCATGTGGTTCCTTGAAGCTTTCTTTTAAAGTGTCTGTGACATGCATGTCCTTCAAATACAAAAGGTCAAAKAAAACATCTTYGTATTTAGGAAACTTAACTTAAAACATGGGGTTTTACCCATTTTTTCACATAACTGGCAYATTTTCTTAGGRTTTTGGCTCAGCCAAAGTGAAACAGGAAGTGACATCAGRGGAAAACTTTTTTWWAAAGAAAATTATTGTCTAAAAAGTTGAGTAGGTCATCTGGATGGGGTCTGTACAGAAAAGGTGTTTAAAAGGTGATGCTAATGACTACAGTTGAGGTCATAAGTGAGGATCAGTTAGCCTCACAGAAGTGAGAAATGATGGAAAATAAATATAATCTTTGTGTTAAAATGCACCCTTTTTGGTTTATTTGATGGAAGTTTTGAGAAAAGGGGCAAATGTTAGCCAAAGAAGGAAAGCKTAAAAGTTAGATGGCTTCAGAATGTGGGTTTTATCCCTAAAAAGAAGGCTTGTGTTATGTTTTTTTAACACTCTTGACAGTTTTCTTTCTTCTTCTCTCATCATTCGGTACACAAGCAGAGGGAAAGACCAGAAGAGGATGTGGTACAAAGAGGAGGCAAAAATGATGAATGGGGAAAGAGATGTGGAAATTTTACAGAAGAGCAGGGATGGACATATTAGAGAAACTTACCAGCGGGGGAGCAGGGAGCCTGAAAGCACGAGGGAGCAGAGGGGAAAGATGAAGCGGGACGTTGAGATAAATGCCTGAGAAGTCTGGAGAGGCTCTGAGTGTTTGAGCTTTGTCTGACATGGGCTCGGAGCTCTGCAGTCTCATGTCCCATGCTCTTTCAAGTGGGAAGCTGAAAAGCCTTCATTTTAGCTGCTATGCCACTGAAGTGCAGTCTCATTAAAGCTAACCTCATGTCTCTCCTGTGATCCTCGGGYGCTCCACAGTGGGACAGTTTAAATCCTTGACTCGCAGCAACAGTGCTGAGGTCACTGGTGACTACCCTCCTGTATGTTTGTGCGTGAGGGCAGAAAACACTGGCATCCTTTTTTTTATTTTTCATTTATAAGGGTGAAAATTTGATGAGCAAATAAGCTCGAGTGTGCTGAAAATTACACCTGCACTGTCAATTGTTTGACAAAAAATAAATAAATAAAATAAAATAAAAAATTCTGCTATATTTTCCTCTTTGCCTTGTCACAGACTTTTCCAATCATTATAATAAAACCTATTTTTTGCTTTTTTTTAATTCTCACAACCATGAATTCAAAGTAATACATTTCTGTTACCATTTCAGTTTAGATGTTTGAGTCTAACATGCTCTGTTTTGTGTTTCCTTTCAAAACCTGCCTGATCCTGTCACTGGGAACCTTTGGATGCTTCTGGCTACATTAGTCTCATGTGAGTATTTCTATCCACAACATGTGTGACTTGACCTGCCATTAAGAATAKAATATTTTTAGCCAAAAGAACCTCTAAGAATAAAATCACTCCTGTATGAAGAACTTTATAGTGAATGGCTTAAAATCACAGYACTGTCTTGATATGTTATTTTGTAAATCCTTTGAATTTTCTAGCACACGTTTTATTTGGTAATGATCAGGCATTTGCATCACAGGTAAAGGCGCATTGGACTGTTTYAGTTAAATATTTACCTTCATATGAGAAATGCACTTATTTGCTATTTTTTTGCATGAGAAAATGAATTGATTTGAAATCGAAGGAGATGAGATTACAGGTGTTGGTKCTATTCCCAGGTAATTTCACCAGAGAAGTCAGGAAACCACATCTTCCGACTGACAGGCCCCGGCGCTGACCGGGATCCTAAAGGCCTCTTTACCATYGATATCGACACGGGAGACGTGTCGGTCAGCCGCTCACTGGACCGGGAGGCTGTCGAGTCGTACCAGGTCAGAAAAGCACCTGCTTATTCTGTTTATGTGCTCTTTTCTTTCCTTTTAGCTCATGTTGGTGTACGCTGCCTCTAATTCTTTGACATAATGTCACTTTCTGTGTGTTTCTGTTCTGTTTTATTCGCATTTATCCCTCCGAAGGTATTGATGTGAATTTATTGTTCAAACAAAAATGTGCTTTGATGTTCATGTGTATGGAAAGATTGTTATAGAGTGGTTTGTAAAAAAGAAAAGCTCTTTGATTTGCAACCAGGTGACACAAAATGCTGGTAGTCAGGTTTGAGAAAACAAAGGGCTTTTGTATTTGTTTCAGCCAATGTGATGCTATCAGAAACAAGAACTGGATCTCCTGTTTTAGGTGTCCGCTGGGTGTTGCACCTTTGGGGTTGTCTGTCTAATAAAGGCATTTTTCCTGGAAGAGAGAGCAAGATAAGGTTAGAGAAAGTCTGCTTTTTTAGGTCTGCCAATTGACCTTATCTTGTTTTCAGAAATCAGATGTGAGGCAGGGTATACAGCTGGGTGCCAGCTGTTGATAAGCTAACTGCATGTTGTAAAAACTCYATAATACGTCACTCTGCAAATATCAACAGATGTGAGAGAAGTGTGAGCAGGAGAGAAAACTGAGAGGAAGAAAGACATTTGCACATATTCATCAAATTCCCCTCCTTTGTTTTCCTCACCTTCAGGAACATGTGACTGTATCACTGAGTCGCTACTTGTTTCAAAGCATCTTTGGCAACTAGTAACTGAACCTCTCCAGTGTGCTAATGAGACACAAACAAAATATCAGCATCTTATTGATCACATGTTACCAAGAAAATGGAAAAAAAAATAATTCAGAAACACATGCAGTTGGATCCAGAGACAGGTACCAACTTACATTACTTGAGTAACTTTTTGGAAAAAAATATACTGTACATTTAGGAGTAATTTATACTTTTACTTGAGTAATATTATGAAGTATTGCTACTATTGAGTAAAGTTTCTGGAGACTCTTCTCAGTGTGAGTAACTTCACTGAATGAAGCATATTTTAAACAAAAATACRYGAGACACACGGACAAACCAGCAGTTTCTTAGTGACACCACTTATTTGTGCACCTGCTTTACTGTTATCATGTTATTTTCCAGTCAAAAATATACAGTATATGTTGTCCCTGCAGGACTTATCATACCTACTGTAAACATTAGTTTCACAAGTTTTATATTAGAAAAGAAAATTCTATGGAAGTACGTTTCTTTTACTTAATTTGTCATTTTGTAATTGTTATTTTATTTTATTTTATTTTATTGTATTTTCCATTTTAATCTTTTAAATACCAAACTTTGCACACAACTTTATCTTTTTGTCTGCCTGATGACGTCATTGTCATCAGTCATCTGCTTGTTAGCTTCATTACATCCAGCAAATCACAAACAAAAATTACCACGACACAAATACCAAGAAGAAGAGTGTGGAGGACTAAATGAACATATCTGGACTTTTCTTTAAACAAACTCTGTGGTGGGCGGGGATTTGTTTGAAAAGGTTCAAAGACGTTTAATGCCAGAAGTTAAGGGTTAAACCTCTAAAGAAAGAGAGATAAAAGAACAAAATATAAAGATCAAGAACTGATGAAGATGGTCTAAAAGTAGAAAAATAACCAGCTACACTGAGACAAACCACACTTATCAGAATTTATTTTGTTTGGTAATTTATGTCACTCCCATAAGTTGTGGGTTTATGCATGCACAATTTACTGTCCATATGTGTGCTATTTTCATTTCCAGATAATGGTGATTTAAWTGAGCTGCTAGATGTAAATCTAATGATACATAACATGTCCAGAAGAAGCTGATTCAATCTTGAATCTCATATTTTTTTCACTTAAGCTGTTTCCACTGTGCAGACGTTTCTAAAGCAACATTTGATATCATTTTGTTGCTTTTCTGTTTTTCCTTGCAAGATGCTTTTTACTTTTTCTTTCTTTTCTCTCATAAAAATGTTTATTTTACATTTTTAAAAGGATTCATTCATTCTTCATTATAAATTAGAACATATATAAATATATATCAAATTGACTTTTAGTAAAACCAAACAGCTGTAGTTAGTTTTAAAGGTTGCAGTTTTTTCTCTGCGCTGTAAGGCTTCACAGACTTTGAGTTTCATTTTATTCCTTTTAAAATAGTTTTGCATCATTTCTAACTATTTTCTCTTTTATCACAGAGACAATGACTGCATGCTAAAACTCAGAACAATTATTTTATTCAAATGAAATTCAATTTGTCTATCAGTACCCCTTCCAGACAGAAAACGTATTACTTCTTCAGGACCCGGTGGCTCTTAAAGGCTGTTTGTTCATTAAGGGTCCCATTGAGTCTAATGTCCTGTGTGGGCCATCAGACACGAAACATTCAGAGGTGGATTAAACTGATATCACTTCAATGTTCAAAGGCAAATTGAATCAAATAAAACTTTTTTTTCCAAGTCAAATGAAAGAGTTGAGTTCTTGTACATAATTTCATTACTACGACACATTTGTGATTTGTTTTAGGAGAAACTTATGCATGCACGTTTTACTGTTGGCACAGAACACAGACTTATTTCCATCTTGAAGAACAAAGTTGTGTCTGCTGTTTCAACTACAAGCCAATAAGATCTTGTCASCATGTACAAGATGGCAATATTGATAGACAGTGAACACATGAAGAGGGTTTTAGGCCTGAGCGTTCAGAGCTGCAGCCTTGTAACAGAGTACATTTGGCTTCTGCTGCATTTCATACAAACAGCATACTTCTCACTTCCTGGCATCATAGATTTCCTAAACCTGACAGAACAGATTTTGCGCACCAGCGAGCAAAAGACAGAGCGCATCGGCGTTGGTCTTTGTTGGCACTGAGTTGTAGCTTTAGCTGTGTTGTACATACAAAAGCACTGAAGTTCAAGTGTGGCTAAAGTGAAAGACAATGTTATGTTGCTGCAACAGGGCGATGAGACATTTCTTAACCAGGATGTTTCTTAACTACTTTGATGGTTTAAAACTTTGTCTTGAAACTATCATAAAAACATTTATTTTCTTTTAAGGAAAACAGAGAAAAAGGGGATCCTCTTAAAAATAATAAAATCTCTCAACCTTTTATTGACCTGATTTTTAGGGTGTACTTGTACCAGGAACATATTTTTGTCTGTTAATTTGATCCAGACCAAAAGTTGACTTACTTACTTTATTTATTTATTTATTTATTTATTTATTTATTTATTTAGATGCAGTTTGAATTCACATTGCGCTTTTTTCTCCAAGCAGACGATAATTTGGACGTTCATTGCTCCCTTTGGAAAGACATGACTGGGGAGGGACAGAGCAAAGATCTGGAATAAAATATAGATGTCTAATCAAATATTTTCACTTTAATGTGGTATTATTCTGGAAACCGGTCGAACCCTRCTCCTTCGTTTTCTCGCTAAGCACGGAGAACTCAACTGCAGTCTTGTGTGTCCTCAGATGAGATCCGTGTGCATCTGCCTAAATATGGAGGAGACACAGCGTCTYCTCGTTGGTATTGTTTATAACGCCCATGTAGTGGTAGCATTAACAACAATGAAGGGCTAATTTTTACGATGTTACTCAGCAATGGTGGCTCGTGAAGTCCAAAAAGGTTATGTTTCCTGTAGTTGGTTTGGGTCGAGGCCGGTCTGTCTCGRTGWGGTTGTTTGGTCCACACCAGGGTTTGCACAAGTGTATTCACAACTGAATAAAAGGTCCGGACCAACAGGAGAAACAAACTCTGGTTTATTGTCAGGTGTRAATWCACCCCTAATAAACATCTTCCACTCATGCTGTTTGCATGTGTTGCATCCAGAATCCTCCATTTACTGTAGATGTTCATGTTGTTCATGTTACAGGAAACAGTGTGATTACACAATTATATTCCCCACTGTGATGTTTGATCCAACCAAAGCCTGCATTACATCCATGTATTTATTTCAAAATCACAGTACATTACCTGGTTTTTCCACTCTTCCTAAAAGCATGTCATCTTTTTATCCACAGCCTTCTTCACTAGGTTTGCTAGACTCTAAGACATTTTAGCAACAGTCTGTGTTGTCAGATGCCATGGAAACTCCAGGACATTGCATCCCCTCTCATCTAGTTTTATAACAATTTCACCTTTTTTTTAATCTGGCGGTTCTCTTTGGATAATTATTTTTCTCTGACCTACATGCTGACAGATGCATTCTGGTTGGGACGTCCTCCTTAAGTGTCATTGTTAAATTAAAACAGTAAAATCAATGCTTTGTTGTAGTTAAATAAGGTTGTAATAAAATATTTTGCACATCTTTTTTTACAGTATGTTTAGAATTGATCTCTGCTACTCACCTCGAAAGGGCACACTATTAGCACTGGTTTCAAAGAACAATGAAATGAATGAGACTAAATTGAAGTGGCTGGAATTTTGTAGGCTCAACTTGAAATTGAGGAATGTAAAAATGGTTGCAATGAACTGAARAAAAAAACTTGTGAAAGACTTTAAGAAAAGCACAAACTCACTTCAGCTCAAGATCAGCAAGAGTTCAGCTGAAAACAGATGGAAACTGGGGGTTGTAAATAGGCCATTACAGGAAGCACAGAGCAAAGCAAGACAAACCAACAAACTCCTGACAAAGTAAAACATTTGCCGTGGAGGAACAAACAAACACAGTGATCAGCTGGGCCACATGTTCACAAAGATTTAATGTCAAACATTATTTTCTTATTAGGCTCAATTAGTGTGAGAATGAATGTTAATGAGATGTAAAATGGGGGTGGGGGTGGGCTCATCTCCGCTGTTATCTGACATGCTTGGATCCTGTAGGAAGTGCTGGGGAAAAACTCTGGTTGGCTTTGAACACATGCAGGAAATAGAATGTGAAGTGATAAACARCAGGCGTGTTTACACAGATAGAAGGATGACCCATAGAAACAGAGGTTATAGCAACAATGAGTGCAACAGGTCATTTGAATGAGCTCGTCTTGATGC